TAAAACCATCTTTTTCATCCAATATCTTATCAGCGCAACTTACTCTGTGATGAACGAATATACTGTCATGATTCGATTCTGGCGACACAAAACGGTGCGCACTCTTAAACGAGAGCGCCACACTTAACTGGTTAAGAAAAGAAAAAAACCCAATCCACATGACCTCTCCAGGCAGTGCAATAAATTTATGAAAGCGGATAAAATGTTTTGTTCCCGACCTTATTAACAGTGAGTCCCTTCTTCCAGTGCTTTCACTGCACTGCTCCTGCAGACTTACTAACTATGAAACGAAATACGGGGGAACAAAAAATGTCATTTATGCAGACCTTAAATTTGTCCTCATGCTGTTCAGATTCGGGAAAATTTTTTTGGGCAGACGCATTCTGCTTGACAGCTAGAACTACTATATTGACATGCCATCGCAGTCATAAAGCGTTGGACTCTTCTTTCTTTTTTTTCGAAGCTACAATTCTCCATTAAAATTTCTTTCCATACTCGCATATTTTTTCTACCATTCTCTCTATTTTCATTAGTGACGCTTTAATCGTTTTACTTTTTCCCCCATTGGTGTGCTAAAAAAGAATAGTGTGGTTCACCTCCCCTCCCCACTAAAATAATACGTTACACTGTATACGTTATATACTATATATTTAAATTCAGCCGGAAGCCGGCTGAGTTGTTTTGCGTGAAATTTGAAGTCCGCTCTCAAATATGACGAGGTCCGATATTTTAATTCTTTTACTTTTATCATTAATTTAATAACTTTTTAAGTTTTTAGTCCAAAGGAGCAATTTGCCCTGAAGGACTATCATTTTCGTTTTGGCATTTTGCGTTGGTTCACTATAAATGTCCGATTCGCTTTACAAATTGTTGACACCACACACCAAATATTATCGCCCTGGTATTATTATACTTAAAGAAATTAAATAATGAAAAATCTGCATAAATGTATGCATGTTTCTCGCATTGTGATAAAACAACGGTACTTAGAGCCATCCAATTTTGAATAACGCACGTAATCCTACTGCGAATAAGGGACACTTGGAAGCCCAAAATTTGGAATTTGTTTTATTATCTATTTCATATTTTGTAAAGCACTAACGAATTTTTGATTAACAAACTCTTGCGATTTAAAAGCGAACAACGGCAACACTCTAAGGGAGGGGAAAAAAAAAAAAAAAAAATTATCTTCAGCGCCCGGAACTGTGTATCGGAAATTCTAAAGATAGGCTCATTTAAAAATTATTTTGTGATATTACTCTTGAATTGAATTTTATGGTTTAAGTGCGAAGAACGTGATATTTTATAAATAAAGGTAACACACAAAACGTTAAAAAAAAAAACCCTTTGGACGTAATTTAAAATCTGAAACCTTTCGGATTTAATTTATACCTTTATATTTATTAAATTTTAATTTTAATTCAGTTATTTTATTTATTCCCCCCTTCTTCCTGATGGCCTTCCAGAGGGCTGTGGGACTTCTGATCCTTAATCGAAATCAACTGATAACCAAAGTATGTTTCCAGCTGAAAGTATGAAATTCGCTCGCATTTGTCCAGAGAAAAGTGTTTAGTGCTTGCCATTCTGTAATGAGAAAATCCTTCCGTTAATCCAAATAAAGTTATTTATGTATTATCTCGATGACAGTTGGCGGAAATTTCCGCCAACTGTCATCGAGATAATACATAAATAACTTCCGCAACTGTCGTCAATCACCAATCATTACTATAGAATTCTAAGGGACACGGTCATCTACAATTGACTCTAAATCGCGCTACTTGGCCAGTGAACAATACGCAAGTACCCAAATAAGAGCGGTGGAGTCACTGAATACTAGTAGTTCGACCTGGGTTTGATTCCAGGCGAATCTGGCTGACTGCATGAGTGTTTTCTTGGGTTTCCCCATATGTAACGTAGATACGAATCAGTTTCCCTTAAAACGTCCTCCACGAAGATATCCCTCTCATTATGCAGGTAGCACCAGGGTGTTTTTTGCCATAATCAAAGAAGAAAAATCAAGCGTACCAAACAGCATAAACCACTTAGGAAAAAAACACAAAAACGCCCATAAAGCCATTGTTTGAGGGGTTCCAAAATCCTGTCGAACTAGTAGCATTTAGCGGTCTTAACTATTCTGTCGCAAGTAGGCAGAAACAGATTTGGAATAAAAAAGATGGAAACAGGGTAAGATATGTGACTGCAGGAACAACGAACGTAAGAAGAGTCTTCTATGTATCAAAGATTTAAACTACTGAAATTTAAAGGAACAGCAATCCTAAATTTCGACAAGATTTTGCTTATCACATGCATATTGTATTTCATATACTTCCATGGCATCTTCGTTAACATCTCTTCAAACAAAATTATGATGAGTTTGGATAACTGAGATGCTATTTTTTTCCCCTGCTGAAGAAAAGAAACCAGTGTTCTATCGTCCTCGAAATAGATAGCGTTTTATTCAAAATCTACACAATCAAAATTTTCTTCTTCCTTCTCCACAAAGTCTACACTGACGTGCTTTCACTAAACTGAGACTCTGTTTCAACTCAATTTGCCATAGTGAAGTTCAATCCCCCTTTTAAAGCCCATTTCTTACTTATATTAGAAGTTTTAGGTAACATCAGCATAATGCTGTGTTAAAAAGTGTAAATAATGCTGTCTCTCACGGATTCTTTACAAAAAAATAATGACCCCCCCCCCAAAAAAAAAAAAATCTGAAAAGTTTCAGATTTTAAATTACGTCCATAGGGGCCTTTTTTTAACGTTTTGTGTGTTACCTTTATTTATTAAATGTCATGTTCTACGTACTCAAACCATAAAAATTCAGTTCAACAGGACGACAGTTGGACGACAATAGATGCGATTTGATAAACTTTGGAGCTGAGAAGAGTCTTTCCACAGTGACTGGAGTAGGAGGAAGAGATGTTACTGTTAGGGTTACTTCTTTTAACTTTTCAGGATAGATTTTTATAAGTTTTAAAAGAGGTGTCTTGTAAGAGCAATCATATTTCTTTATTTCTTCAAAGGCCGTGTAGAAATTTTGTTTGTATTTTATCATTTTTATATCTAAAGGTTCCTGGTTCTTTATTTTCATTCGCTTTGCCTTAGCCTTTTCAATGTTATCCCAAACTCTTTCTCAAAATCTAATTCATCACTGAAAGAGTATAATAAAGACTCAGTTCATAGATGGATGGTTCATAGATGAAAGTTCATAGATGGATTTCTTTGCCTTCTTAATTTGTTCGTCATTCAACAGAATTCGGTATTTTGATTCTATATATAAACCCAGCAAGATCTCATTGTCTAGCAAACTAGTTTCTCTTTTCTTCATTGAAGAAATGATTCCTTCTGCAATAAACCCTCCATTTCAGAAAGTACAAACATCCCATTCTTCCATTCTCGCCTCCTGTTAATTTTTCAGATTGTATCATTTTTGTAGCTATATACGGTGTAGAAAGAAGAGTTTCCAATTCTGCAAGATCATTCCACAGTCTTTCTGTTAGTGAAACATTAGGATTATCCATATCTTCTAAAAACATTCTTAATTCTAGAAACCTCTATATCATCAAATATGTGCTTCCCCATGGCGTTGCTTGATCAACAATTGCTCCTTTTCCTGCTCACTTTCTAAGAATGGCATCGATTTTGAAAGTTTTTGCTGCAATGTTGCTTACCTAAATTTACCAGTGAGATTTGTAACTAAACGAAGTTAACTAAATGAATTAGTTTAATCACTAATAGAAAATATCATATCCATCCTCCTCCCTTATATTTATTTATATGTCAATAAAATAGAAAATAACTATTTATTAATGTAGTCCATAAATAAAAATAATAACTCAGCTTCTCAATATTTTTTTTTCCAATTCACTTTAATTTCATTTCAAATTCAAACTGTCCAACAAAAACTGGAGTCGGAGACGACATGTTTTTAGCGACTCCAGCTCCAAGTCCTTTTACCCCCAAATCGGCCCAACTCCGATTCCGACTCCACAGCCCTGGCTTTGAAATCGTTTTTTAGTTTGTTAATCAAAAATTCGATGAAGTGTTACAAAGTATGAAATCGATGATAAAACAAATTTCAAATTCTAAATTAGGGGTTCCAGATGCCCATTTTCTATGGAAGATTACGTCATTCAAATTTTGATGGCTCTAGGTACCGTTGTTTTATCACAGTGTGAGAAATGTACATACATTCATGCAGATTCTTCATTAGTTAATTTCTTTAAATATAATACAAGGCTCTAGTATTTGGTGGCAACAATATGAAAAGTGATTCGCCGTTTATAGTTTTCAACGCAAAATGCCAAAACGAAATTAATAGTCCTTCCGGGCGAATTGCCCCTTTGGACTAAAAAGATTACAAAATGTCAAGAAAAATATATGTTTTGTGTTTTTTAAAAGTCTTCTATACCTTGGGCAGAAATGTGGATTTTTAATGAAATGATATATAAAAATATTTGTACGTTTAAAGTTTAATCTCTATTAATATAATTAAAGAATCGAGCGTTCTTGTCATTGAACTGCTGATATCATTTTAAACGATGAAACGGATGATAAAATAATTTACAAGCAGTTTTAAGAATCTTTGGTACAAAATTAATACCTCAAACTTAAAAAAAAAAAAAAAAAAAAAAAAAAAGTAAAAGAAGTAAATTAACATCGTTCATCTCATTCCTTCCAATGATAATTACAGTTTGTATCAAAAATATTATTTTATTTGCTGCCCTCCGTTATCATTTAATCCTTAATATGACGTTTTGACCGAAGTGTACCCAGACTTGAATTTAATACTGACCAACGGAATTACTGAGAAAAATTTACTTGGACCGAGTTTATTTACTTCCTTCAAAGATGCGGATGAGAATGGGCATCGTCGAATTTTCTCCTTAGAGCGAAACGTGTTTCTTAAAATCCCTGCTATGGGGAAAAAGCAAGTGCTAGTTAGTGGTTTGGCGTCCGGTTGGCGTGCTTGGAAAAAGGGGCGTTATCGGCAACCCTGTCGTTACCCCTACGAGTCAACCGCGCTGAGAAACAGCAAGCAAACCGAGGCAAGAATTGATGCCTCCCTGACGAGTGAGGAGCACAGCCTAAATCGGAGATGAGGACGAATTCATGATGGTCGGTTTCGCCATAGTGTTGGTGGGACCGCTCTCTGTCGTGTGGTGGTCATTGATAGTGTGGTCTGTTTCTGCCAACTCAATTTCTGCCCCTTCAGAATGCGATGTGGCCCGCATGAAGTGTGCATACAGAACAAGCTGTTCTCGGGCCCTTCACAGTTATATGGTAGACTGTGCAGATGTCCTTGCGGGGAGAACCACGCGATGCCCATGGGCTTGTAAAAGGGCTCTAATTTCGTTGACGAGCACAGAGATGGGTTTGGCCCTTTCCATGTGCGATTGTGGTGACAACGAATTCTGCCGCAGCAGTAAAGAACGTGCCGAAGTTTGCCGCCCAGAGGTCAGCTATGCCACAGCCGACGACACCGTAGTGTCCTGTTCCGTTGCCGAGTGGATTTGCGCCGCCGATCCTCTGTGTTCTACGGCTCTGGACTACTACCACAGGTTCTGCAGATCCATGTTTCACGGCCGCAAATGTACTCCTCGGTGTAACAACAGTTTGGCAATATTAGATAGGCAGGAAAAAGCTGTCAAACTGCGAAACTGTTACTGCGATGGCTCGGAAGATTTTCCATGCCGTAATATCAAAAAGAATACTCAACGATTGTGTTATGGACGGGATGAATGGATGGACAATTCTCCCTACTTTCCATCTACAACATCCGAGACAGATTCGGGCTCGCTCTGTACAGTACCTAGCGGACTGACCTACTACCTCCTACTATGTCTTCTAGTATTATGGACTTTCAGGACTAGCGTAAGCACTGCAGATTATATTACTGTTTCAACAAGAAACTGTAAGACTTTTATTACAAACAGTAAATGTTTGCCATATCAGCATTTACAAAAGAGAAACAGCGAGCATTTTAGACAGAAAATATGGCCTTGGTGGTGGACAGCGGAAATTGTTTCCAGCGCTAGGTAAGTTCATTTTGTAAAATGTTATTATTGATAGTTTCTATTTCACCTTGGAAAATTTTTAAATCGATAACGAATGTGTATTTTTTAATCCAACCTATGTGAGATGTAGGAAATGTAAATTGTAAATACAAACGAACTTTCTTCCTGGAAATTTTAGGAAATATACATTTGCGATATGTTTATATATTCCTAAATTTAATGTAACTTTTTCCAAACTTGCGATTTGTAACTTGATTTTTAACTTAATTGTAAAAAATTATTAACATGCATTTGACTATCGACGGGAAAAATAGTAGATAAAATTTGCTTGCACAATCTATAGCATGCAAAAAATTGTGTAAAAATAGCCATATTTTTTATTCATGATTTCTTCTGTCTCCAGTAAGATTGAAACAGAGTTACATTTTTTTACTGTTTTCTTAAAATAAAGTGAAAAAAAAAATATGTTCCAAGTGTATATAAGAAGAATATACTAGTCAGTGCAAAAGAGTGTTACGTCATGTTTAAATTTCATTAGAAAAAATAATAAAGAAGGTAGGAGAAGATTTCTTAAGTAAGATGTTTTTATACATTCTATCAACAGAAGTGTATATAATTGTGTATTTTATTATTTTTTGTTCTTATAGAATTGTTTAACTGACATGGGTAAAATTTTGAGTTTAACTGATTTGTGTAAGCTTAGATAATCTAGATTGAAATATACATACTTTGCGAATATTTGTTAAATAGATATTTAATTATTTACAGAAATAATTAACAATTTCATATTAAGATAACGTGAGCTCAACTTTTTCACTGAAAGTTTCTCAACTAATATGTACTAAATGGGTATAGTTAAAAAAGACTTGAAAAGCAAAGTAGTGTATACAGAGTTATATGTAACGCGTATACGACTCAGTTTCCTTTAGAAAGTTCTTCACAAAGGCATCTCTCACTTTAGACAGATAACTTTCGTATACTTTGACGTAATCAGCTAAACAAAAACAAACCGTAGAGAGTTTTTAAACTGTTGATCGTTTGAAACTTCTAGAGTATCGTCATATAATTTATATATTTGCATGCGATTCTTCTTCCTTTTTTTCTAAGATGGCTGACAGAATGCTGACCAACGAGCTGGCGGTGTAGGATTTTTTGTGGGAGTCCCCATGCATGAGTACAAGCCAGTTTCCCTCAGAAAGCCTTCTATGAAAACAGAAAACGATCGAATGCTTTGCTATAATTTAAATAATCCAGTCTTTTTTCTCTTCAACCCCCCTCCTTTTAATTGTTTATTAGACTTCTGTATTTCGGTTTTCATTTAAATATTTTGTTTAAAATGCTTGCAATATTGTTTATGTCCTCTTCCATAGCCGTAGTAAATAAAACTTTGGATATCGTCAACAGTGAAAACAGGAATCTCAGAGACAGTGCGCGAGCTATCAATAAATATTAACAAATTTGAATGGTGGAGCGAGCAGTAGAAAGTTAACGGCAGAAGATCTTATATACTCGTATTATAGAAATTTTCACTTAAAAATTATCGATCGAGATTTAAGAGATCAGTACTCATTGAATAAAACTTATTCCAATCCGTTCTCCCGTAATCGAACCCAAGTCGGAACTACCAATATTCCGTGATTTTACCGCTCGGCCGCTGGTGGGCACTTACACATTAGAAAAATCATGAAAACATCAATGCAAGCATCTGTTCGCTGGGATTCGGATTCGCGTCCTTTAGAAGATCCCACAAAGAAATAGATTAGTTTTCAGAGTTTAACAACTCGGTCATTATTGGGGAAATTACAGTTTGGCACTTTTCTCTCTCATATATTGTTATGCTAAAATCTTAATCCATTTGCTTATAAGTCAATTGTTAGGTTCTACAGCTTGGTGTTTGTTCTCCATAACTATGTTAAAAGAAGTTAAAAGATAATTCCTAGTTAAACAGCTGATAAAAATGCTGTGTATATGTTGTCTGAAAATTATTTAAAAGTTGTTTAGATGTTGAATGGTTAAACACAGGAATGCCTGTATTACATGTATCGTGTAAATATCTATCTATTCGTCGATTCTTGGGAAAATGCTATCGAGAATAACGATGTTTCATATGAAAACTGCAATCTGTACTTATGCAAACGCCTCATTTTTATGCTTTTCCTTCTCGGATTTAATTTATTTGGTTTATTTGAGTATGGCGAACTACTCGAGGCTATCTGCCTAAGGGAAGGAAGCCTTCGTGGAGATCTTCGTTATACAAGTTAAATATTGAGAAAACGACGAAAAGACCCATGCAGCCAGCACCTTTTTATCAACAGTTCGGTTAATAAGATCAAAGTGTAATAGAACAAATTTGTTTTTAACTCACGTAAAGTCATCAAGTAAAATTCAAAACAGGTTATGAAAATTGCCTGCTGACAAAGTAATGTCGCCAAGTGCGGAGTTGGATTTTAATAAAACTGGAAAATGAAATCTTGGTTTGTAATTTAATGAAACATTTAAAAATGAGGGAAAAAAAATAAATAAATCAAATAAACCTCAGTGATTTTGAAGGCGGTCAGACAACGGTCTTTTTTTTTTTTTTTTCCCCGTTTTCGTGTTCTCCCCGATGTATAGCGTAAAGTCCCAATCGCATTATGTTTCGGCTACGAGGGACTGGACGTCGAAAAGGACAAAACCTGCGTAACTAGGTTACCATTTTCACGTACTACAAAGACTTGAACGCAAAACAGTAATCCATTATCGCTCAAATTGAGATCACGTGATCCTTCAGAAGCTGAACTTTCGTCGATTGGTTGATCTCTACCCGGGACAGAAACATTTTCGGCGAGGTTTCAAAAAATCCCGTGTAGCCGGTACATCGTTTCCGTAGCTAGGCGGGACTTCGCTTCCGGTGGAGCTGTTTTTTTTAGGAATCCTCCCGTTTAAACCAGTGCTACCAGAATCTCGTTTCTCAGAAAAGTCCCGTCTAGCAGGGGCCGTCGCTAGATATGATAACCCCTTTACGAGCCAGTTCCCTTCGAAAGTTCTCCACGAAGACATTTTCTTCCCCTTAGTTAGACAGCCATCGAGTGCTTTGCCATCTCTACATATAATAAAAGAACTTTGCCATCTCTACATATAATAAAAGAGTCTGTGTGCCTTTCGTTCGTGCTGCGCGTAAGCTAATAGACCCAAGCCTACGAAATTTGGTATATAGGTGAATCTAGACAAGAGCCAGTGCACCTCGGAACGATTTTTTCAAAATTCGGATCAGATTTAAAAAAAAAATTTTTTTTTTTTTCGATTTTATCGAATCATTTTGAATAATTTCAATCTTTTAGAAATGATGTTTTGGCACTAGTTTTTCATTGAATGATTTGTATACTGGACTGCTGACTGTTGAAAATCAGCACTGTTGCCACTTGGAAAAATGAGGGCTATAATTCCGTGCAGTTTTTAAATTTAATGTTTCTTTTGGATACTGGACGTTTGTTGAGAGAAGGCAACGGGAAGTTGGTTAATTTATTAGGATAATTAATATTTGTATTATGCGATATTGCTTATTTCATTGTAATTTTGTTATATATAATACATTTTTTTTTAAATGAAGTTCTGCAGAGTAAAATTCTGCGCAGTTTTTAAATTTAACGTTTGGTGTTCCCTTCAGGCATTTTTTCCGATACATTTAAAAGCCAGATGACATCTTTAAATCTTCTTATTAATAACAGTATTTCGAAAATAAGAACGCTTTTATTAGATAAGAACAACATAGCCAGTTTAACGTTATATGTAAATGTAAGTAATATTTGAAATCGTTTCCAGTACGACTTGTTAATTTTAGCGGCAATGATAAAAACTCGCCGATGACATTACAAGGCTTACCGCCATCTTAATGAATACGGATTTGAGTGGAGAAATTCTGAGTAAAGCGGCGCCTTTTACTCAAAATCCCGCTGTGCTTAAATAATCAGCAGTGATGTTCTAATTGCTAAAAGAATTGCTTAAGCGAATTCAAGTCTCGCTTGACACTATCTAGGAAGTGGCGCCTTGTCATAAATGTACCAGTATCTTTACGCAAGGCGGCCACTATTCGAAAAGACAAACACCTTCATAACGTTCTCTGGCATAAAAGTGGCCGCACCCTTTTAAATGAAGATCCGTTTCTAACTCGAACCTTTATAAGGAAACGGATACCTTTATGCAATAAGATAAACTTAAAAATGCAGATATCTTTATGCAGAGCCGGATTTAGACTTTATGAGGCTCTACGCTATTTGAGATATGGGGCCCTTTGTTAGTCTGTAATATAATACTATATTTTAATTTTTTGGGGGGCCCCCGAAAAAGGGGAGCTTTTAAGCTGCAGCTTGTGTAGCTTATACATAAATCTTGCACTGCTTTTATGCCGTTACACCGCTAAGTAGGATTTTTGCTATTCAGATTATCAAAGTGAATGAAAATTCTACTTCTGTAACCATGCCCTAGTCTGTTGAAGTGCCTGCTCATTTATGAAGGTTACTTTGATATAAAATTAGAAATATGTAAAAGTTAAAAATGGATTCTCACTTATGAGGGGCAAGTTTATCGAGATGAACTTATACCTTTGTATAGTTCTAATTTTATGCCACGGCAACCTGATGAAGATTTCTGTCATTTCGAAAAATGGTTAATTTGCTTTCCGTATTTGTATTGTAAGGATTATGTTAATTTCAGTTAAATTTTGGGTGAAAGTTCCTTTTCTGTCTTCCTGAATTTCAACTTACAACTTCCTTTCAGAACGTATTTTTAGAATCGCGTCTGAATGCAAATGAGGAGAAGTATTTAACCGTGAAGTTCTACCGACTTCGTTAGAGAGAACGAATGAATCTGGCTAGTATGCGCCCTCCTTTTTAGGTTACTCTCTCTTAAGCTATTATTATGCTCGGCCGTACTTTAGGCCCTTGATAGCTTTGCCGTTATTCAGCTTTAAGGGGCCAACTCGGTTAGAATCTTGATAGCTTCGGTTATATCTTTTTAGTTAAGATTAGTTTTAGTTCTTAGTT